CCCACCCCCACTTGGCTCCCTGGTGTTTTGCTGGCAGCAGGGAACTGATTAAAACCAATCAGCCTGATTAACCCGGGAGAGCCTGAGATGCCCGACACCGGGCAGTGCTTGGCGTGGGCTGGGACTGCCGATGAGCAAAGGCGAGAGGACCTCTCATGGGCCAGAGGGCGAGGACCAGGACCCAGTGGGGTGTGCTAGTCATAGGCCAAGCAGCCTGAATGGCTCAAGATGCTAAAAACCTCAAAACCCAGGGGACAGCGGACTTATTTTTTTTTTTTTTTAAATCAAGAATTCTTTATTTGTCTTGCTGGACCAGCCTCAGGAACAAGGAGTCAACAAAAAATCAAGTTGGACATTTTAAAAGGAAACAGGAAAACTTGCTTCCTGCTGGTTAGAGCAGGAAGCGGGTTTATAATCAGAAAACGAAAGATGGGGAGGGGAGTGTGGAGTCTATGTGGCCTGAGAACAGGAATAGTCCGTGCCTGAGCTTAGCACTGCCCCCGACCCTCCAGGAGTGAGGAGGGTGAGACAGTCCCACGACTGGGACCTGGTCTGCATCCTTGTCACCCAGCCTCTCTGCCTCTCGGCTTTCCCATCTGTTTAAGGACGAGAAAGGAGCCCACCCCAAAGGTGACGGGGACAATCACATACGAAGCGTCGGGCACAATGGGAGCTTAGCAGCTGACCATCAACACAAGCTGGGCCTCCCATAAGTTGGTGTGCGGACGACAGAGGGCCAGACAGAGGGGACGACCCGGGCAAAGGCTCAAAGGCAGGATGGAAGGGACCTATTGGGGCCTTAAAACTGGCAGGTCGCAATGGTTCCCCTGCTCCTGACAGTGACTTCAGGAGGCCCTTTGTCCTGCCTGGTTCCTTCCATGGGAACCCCAGGGAATGGGATGAAGGGGGCCAGAGCAGAAGGCAAGGGTGACAACAGGCAGGCCGTCTTAGTCATGTGGTTCATCAGCCTGAGAGGTGACAAGGACAGCCCCAAGGAGGCACAGGGGTGGCCTCCACCTCCCCACAAATGGTGGCTCGGTGTAGCAAAGAAACAAAAAAACAGAACAGGATACCACCAGTTACATTCCAGATAAGCAGCAATTTTTTTTTTTTTTTTTTTTTTTTTTTAGTGTAAGCTTGGAAAAGCTAGGACACACTTATACTAAAAAAATGATTCATTGTTGATCTGAAACTCAAGTGTAACGGGGTTCCATGTGTGCAGGCCTGGAGCCAGGTTGACAGTGTGACCTCAGATCCTGGTGCCCGGAAGCCACCTCCTTGTTCCCCATGAAATTCAAGGGCCCACGGCTAGGCCTACCCACTCCCCAGCCCCACCCAGCATCACGCTCGCCCCTTATTATCCCACCCCCGTGGCCTTTGCGGTGCCCTGGTCCCGACTTGGTTCTTCTCATGGCCACCTTCTTCCCCTTCCCCTCTGTCCTCCAGCCTTCCTGCTGGGGCTCCCTTCTCTCCCCCCTCCCCAGTAAGCTGGCTCCCCTGCTATTTCTCACTGCCCAGGCCCTTGCCTTCATGACAGGCAAATACCATTCAACATTTACATGTGAAATGCCTCTGTCCCTATCTGCAGGGTAGTTTGGCTCACCGCTGTACCCCAGCGATTGGCCCCATCCCCAAGTTAGCGGGCGCCGTAACCATCTGTGCCGTGGAGACGAACAGAATCTATTTCAGGAAGTCGTGGTGGGGGGCGGGGAAGGCAGAGTGGAAGGTCTGAAGCACCCACATGCTCACACCTCCTGGGAGAGACGTGACCATTTCCAACCCTGGCCCTTAGCCTTGGGATGGGACAGGAGCCCATGGTCATGGTCAAGGGGCCAGGAGTCTCTTAAGAGCTCTGGACAGTCAGCAGCTTGCTTGGGGCAGCTCTCTCAACCTCCCAGAGGCCCTATCCCCTCAGCCCCCCAAGTAGTGCCTGACACCCCTCCCGGCTCTGCTACCCTGGGAGTCTTGTCCCTGTAACCTCAGATCCTCCTGAGAGTGATGCCGGTCTCTCCTCCCTGCTCTAGATCGCAGTCCGAGGGTCTGCGGCCTGTTCAAGACGTCCTGTCCCTGTCCCCAGTACCTCCCAGGCTCCGCGCATGCAGTACCAGCTCAACAATGATCTGTAGGGTGAATGAATGAGTAACTGGCCCGTTTCCTCCCGGCCCCAGTGAGCTTTTCAGAGACTTGGAGGGGGAGGGGAGAGTGGCGGCAGCAGCAGATGGCCACTGGGACCAAGAATAAAGGCTAAAAAGGGAACATAATGCGGAGAAGGGGGCTGAAGCCACAGGCACGCTTCTCTCCATTGATGTCATCTTGAACCAAGCCCAGCAGGGGCCGGGCCGGGTTATCACAAATTATGTCTCCCCAGGCTAGCATTATCATCTGATTTCCAGCAAATTACAGAATTAAGGGTGGGATTGGCTAGGCCTGTTCTATGTTTGGCACTGGCATATCAGCAGAGCCACCAAGAGCCTGCTGGGATTTTGCTCAAAAACCTGATTAAGTGGGTTTGGGCTAGAATGTCGCATGCTACCCACACCCTCTCCAAGGCCGAGGATCTCCGAGGCAGGAGGGGGAGGCTGGAGGGAGCTAGAGAAACAGGTCAGCCTGAGACCTGCACACCGCCAGCCACCCGTCCCCATTGACTCCAATTATGTAGCCACATCGAGGGTGGGGGGTGGCAGCTGGCAGACGCTGTGTTTCCAGAAGGTGTTGCTGGCATCTCTCATGGGACCAAGATTACGCCCAGCGTCTAGGGAGGTTGGGAACATGTGCGGAGAGGAACCAACGAGGCGCGAATGAGTACATCTTGTTGGAGCAGGAGGGGGAGGCAGGAAAAGTGGAGGGTGGGTATGAATGAGAGGAGGGCTTCTCTTTGCAGCCTTAGCTCTTGCTACCTGTAGAGGATGTCTGGTGTTTTTGCTTGATTAACATTTACATCCCTCCTTCTGGAAACATCATCCTAGCTTTCCTTTGAGGAACTGCCCAACCACCCCACTCTCAGCCGTGTTGAGAGTCCAAGATCTAGGGGTGGGTCCAAGCCCCAGTTCAGACAGTAGCACTGAGCTTGCCTGGAGATGGCTTGCCATGGAAGCTGGGTCGATCGGGGTCAACCCTGGGACTTTGGTTGGGATTCCTGGGAACAAAATTTTCTTCTCCAGCTAAGGTTGAAGCAGGAGAGAAGGAAGCCCTGAGCCATTCATTGATCTCAAAAGGAAGCCAGTGCCAGGGAAGCAGGATGAGGAGAAGGAACAAGGAAGGGGGAATCCTGGATCCAGCCATGCCTGAAGCTCATTTCCCACACTCTTCTGATAACATGAGCAAAACATTCCCTTTGAGCTGAGTTTCTGTGATTTGTAAATCAAAGAACCTACTGATTACCCTTGGTCCTTCACTCTGGTCACATGAGCCTCGTTACAGTTCTCAGAAGGGGTCAGACACCCCCACCTGCTGACTGTCACTCCATCTGTAACCTCCACCAGGAATGCCAGCCCCACCTCAAGACCTCCTCTGAAACCTTCTCTACCCTGCACACAAATGACACCTACTTCGAGAGCCATCCTGAGACGTTGCGGTCACTCCCACGGTGGACAGAGCAAACTCTTCTCCCAGGGCCCACCTGGTGGCACTGATTTTGCATCATTTGTGTATCTATTTAACTCTGCCCGGCGGCCCAGAACCGTGCTGGGAACATGAGCTCATCTCGTCTTCACACCCGCCCTTTGAGGTGCTTGCCTTCCAATCTCTGTCCTGCAGGGTGGCAAGGACTCAGGCTGCCACCTGTTCCATGTCGGAGGGGAGAGGTGGGACCGGGCCCCCAGAGCTCCATCCCAGGCCGGCTATGCTGTCCTGGCCACTGGCTGGTATGCCTGCTGGGGTCTTTCTCCTACTCTCACGGCAGCAGCTCACGGGAAAGTCCAGGGGAAAGAGTGTCACCGTGGCATTCGCCCAGCATTGGCCCTCACTGGTGCTTCACTTCCCGGTGGCTGTGTGTCCCCAGGTGAGTAGCTCCTCCGGCTTTCGCCTCCTGTTGGTTAGTGTTACTGCGGTAAAATACACCCATTATGAATTGTAGCATCGGAACCATTTTCAGGCGTAAGGTTGGGTGACATCAAGTGCACCCAGGGCCAAGCAGCCGTCACCCCTGTCCATCTCCAGAGCTCTTTTCATTGTATAAAATTTCGTCGCAGTACCCATTAAACATTAACTCTCATCCCCTCCTCCTCCAGCCCCTGGCAACTGCCACGGTCCTTTCTGCCTTGTGAATCTGACTGCTCGAGCTCACTTCCCGTGACTGTGGTCATTGCATGTTCATCCCTTTGTGCCCAGCTTCTGTCACTTAGCTTAAAGTCCTCAAGGTTCATCCATGTTGTAACTCCTGCCAGCCTTTCCTTTCTTTTTAAGGCCGGCTAATACTCCCTTACAGGTAGCCTACCTTATCTTAGTCCTGGTCATGGGAACCAGGCTGTCCCCGTGCTGAGAGAGATTTCTTGGCCCCAATTCCTCTCCTCTCTAGTTTGAGGAACATGAACTCAGAGCCAGGCGCTGTGCTGGGAGCTATCCCTCCCACCCACTGGCTTTCATCCCAGTGCCAAGGAGAAGCCCATCCGTGGGACTGCAGAGCAGGAGAAGAAAAGCTCCAATCCAGAAACTCGTGGCTGAACCCCCAAGGGCAAGGTGATGTTTCAGCTTTCCCTGAGGATCTGCAAGGCATCAGTGCTGCGGAGCAAGGAGAAGAAATATTCAGTCTCTGTACAGGAGAGCTGCCTGCGGAAACCCTGGGGAGGAAGGACGGCAGCCGGCTGGTCCTCCCGGCCCAAAGACCAGCTTTGTGGAAGGACTCCTTTGGGATGACACTGTCCGTCTGACTTCCAGACTCCCCTGCGGCAGTTGCCTGGGCTGAGCCAGGCCCGTGGCTGGACACCCTGGAGGGCAGGGCGGGCAGAGGAAGGTGAGGGGCTCCAAGTCACCCTTGGCCTGACGGCAGGGATCGGGCTTACCAGGTGCAGGGTGCTCAATACCGATAGGATTCTACAGCCTCAAGGACCATCCAGAAGGTTCCCTCCTTCCTTCGAAAAATTCTAAAAATAAGAAGGAAAATGACCACTCGGTCCCCAAGCTCAGTGGGAACTGGAGCTGGGGAAGGGCTGGCGGTTTTAGGGAGCTACCCCAAGGTGGCAGGAGGACAGCCGCTCTCATGGTCAGCCAGGACGATGATGATGATGGGGTTAGTAAGCTGCTGTCAGTGTCCCCCTTACCCCCGTATATGTAAACATACCACTCCCCACTGTGGAAGACTGGAGGACCATCCCGGCTCTCCAACTCCCTCCCTGCCCGTACAGAATTCCACACCCACATCTTGCCCTACTGGGGACTCCAGAGCAAGCACACTTACCATGATGAGCCCTGGGCACTGTCTAGATTTGTTGTATCATAATACTGTACACCAGAAACTACTATCAATGCATGTTAATTACACTGGAATTAAAATAAAAAACGAATAATAATAATATAAAAATATATATTATAATAATATAATAATAAAAAAGAATGCTATATCCACACCTTTTGCCACGGGACTTAGCCGTAGACTCTTGGTAGGGGAAACATCCTTTCCTGACCCAGGAGGTTGGGTCTGGCCTCGTGACTCACTCGGGCCAATGGAAATGTTCTGTGCTTACATAATTCGGCTCCGTCTCCCGCGTTTCAGCCATCTGCTCTCCGAAGAACATGCCCCAAGCAGTACCAGGCCAAGTAAAAGCAGAAAACCAGTGGATCTGGCTTGAACCCAATGCCCAGCCAGGAATCACGCCTGATCAAACCGAGCAGCGATCTGATGAACCCGAGCTGACTGGAGACGCAGCAGGGAGGGAAATAATGATCATCCCCGCAGGCCACGGAAGGTGGCCGCTTGTCCCCCTCAGGAGTCCCATAGCCCCTGGCCGACCCGTATACCACACGCACATACGTGTCTGCGGACAATACGAAGGCGAGCTCACCCATGAACGTACATGGGACATGTGCTCTAGCCGTGTCACAACTCCACAAACACATCTGAAAGCCACAGACAGAGCCTCCCTCGAGGCCGGGGGCTAGGCAGTCTGACCTATGTGTCACTGACTGTGTCTGTGGCCCTCTCTGGCCTTAATCCCAACCCGAGGCTGGGAACCAGGGCTCCCTTCCTTCAAGCAGAAGCCTGGGGGGGGTTAGGGTTGTGGGAAGGCGCAGCAGTGTGTCCTCACATCTGTGTCCCACAGTGACCAGTCTAGGCTGAGTCACACCAGTTCAAATGCCTGGTTTGAGTTTTGTTGGATAGACTCAATCCAAAGTGTTGGCCATTTTCTCCGTGGATTCTGGGGACTCTTGGGAACCACCAGCCCTGGAATTTCAGGATTCCTCTGGTCCCACGAGGCTGGTGGAGGGAGCCTACTGAGCAGAAAGGAGGCGGGGTCCTGGCCGCTGCCTCTGAGCCTCTCCCTGCTGTGGGTGTGGGGAGCCCCATGGGCCCTCCCTGAGAAGCCCCCTTAGCCTCCGGGTCCAGCTCTGAGCAGGGAAGTCAAGGACATCTGGTGGTGACAGAATCAGGCCCTGGCATCAGACTGCTCCGTCCCTGCGGGTCCTTGGACAAGTCCCCTCACTTCCCTGGGCCTCAGTTTCTCTCTGTGTAGCCTATTTAAGGCCAACCCCTGAGTCAAGCCTCAGAGTCCAGCCCCTTTCACCCACTAAACACACCATTCCAGAAATTCTTCCCCCTTGCCTCCACATCATCGGTTTTTCCCCCTTTCCTGGGTCATCCTCAACAGCCTATAAATACGCTCGAGTTTCTCTTACCTTAAAACAATGACCACAAAAACCCTGGCCATGCCCCATGCTCCCTGGCCCCGCACATCTGTTTCCTGGGTTGCCCTTCAGAGCGAAGCTCCTTGAAAGACTTGCTGGGCCACGTTGGTGAAGGCAGGCCGACTCCCTTGCCACTCTTCCCAGTCTGTCCTGAGCCCTCCGGCGTCAGGTTTTGTCCCCACAGTTCCACCATAACCACTCTCATCAGCGTCAGCACGGCCTCCCGTTGCTAAATCCAGTGTCATTTCTTGGGCTCCTCTTACTGGGCTCACTGCACACGCTGTTTGCTCCCTCTTTGTGGGGTCACCATGCTCCTGGTTCCCTGCCTCCTGGCTGCGGCCCTCCTCACCTGCTACTACTCCCCCTCCCCTGCTAGTTTCTAACCCCTGAGGGCCCTGTCTTCATCTTTTCTGTCCACCCACCTCCTTGGGGATCGCAAAGACAAATACCATAGATACCGTGGCAAACACCACACCCAGACTTGTGCCCTGACCCCAGCATCATACCCAACTTCTCCCTGGATATCTCTGCCCCGCCACTGACAGGCATCTAATCTCCATACTTCCCCATCTCGGAAAATGAGAACATCCCCTTCCCACCATTGACCCCAACACCTGGAGCGATGAACCCTGACAACTTCCTTTTCCTTCCACTGGCGTTCCCTCCAGCCATTCAGCACTTTCTGTCGGTTCTACCTCCAGGATGTGTCCCTAATCTGACCACTCCTCGTTTCCTCCCCCTTCCCCTTTCAGAGCGACCCTACCCCAAATACTAGCCCCCAGAAATTCCATCTCACTCAAGGTAAAAGCCCAGGTCCCTGCTCTGAACCATAGAGCCCGACCTCATCCCTGGGCTCTGCCAGAGAAGCCCAGACAGACGGTCCTGAGCATGGCTCCTCTGTCGTCGCCCCCTTTGCCCACCCTACCAGTCACACCGATCCTACAGTGCTCCTCAAACACTCAGTTGCGGCACACCCCATGCTAAGGTCTTTGCAGTGGCTGTTCCCTCTGCCAGGAGCCCTTGGCTCAGGGACGCACATGTCTCCTTCAAATCTATGCTCAGATCTGACCTTCTCCTGATGCCTTTCCTGAGCACTAGGTTTTCCATTGCAAGCCCCACTGCACCCCTCCACCTACCAGCTCCTTCCCCCTTGATCTTCCTGTCATAGTTATTTATGATTTTTATTATTGTTTCCACTCTAGATTGTAAGCTCCATGAGAGCAAGGATTGCTGTGTTTTTCACGGTACCTAGAACATGCTAGCAGCTCAGTAAATACCTGTTAATGAATCTTCATCAAGTGAGGGCAGTTCTGCACCTGCCTCACTGGGCTTGGGGTTCAATAAGAGAGTGCAAGTCTGTTGCTTAAGCTAGGGCATGTGGGGCCACACAGAAAGGTTAGTCCTAATGTTATTGTCATGGCTACCACCATCACCACCACCACCACCACCATCATAACCATCATCACCATCATCACCACCACCGCCACCACACCATCATCATCATCATCACCACCACTGCTACCACCACCATCATCACCATCATCACCATCATCACCACCACTGCCACCACCAACATCATCACCATCATCACCACCACCACCACCACCACCACCATCATCATCACCACCACCGCCACCACCACCATCATCACCATCATCA